AGAACAGTTTCCAGAGAAAATTTGTTGCACCGTCATGTTAGGAGGATTAAATGTTGCTGAAACGCTTATTTCAAAAGGCCTGGCGAGGGTAGTGCGATATAGAAGTGATGATGACAATAGGTATAATTAGAGTTTGCTCTCTTTTTCTAAAGCGATATGATTTTTCTTTTAAATTCTGGAACAGGATAAATGATTGTTTCCAGATCTTCTCAGTACGATGCTCTATTAGCTGCTGAAGCAAAAGCAGAAAAGAACAAAAAAGGTGTATTTGCTGACAGGGTATCAGGTGATAAAGGTCCAGTTTTAAGAATTCAAGAATTGCAAGGGGTTAGTCAAATCGGATTTTCATATTTTAGCCGTTGTTTTCATTGTTTGCATATGCTATTTTGTACACAGAGTGACGATCTGTATAAGTTTCTTCAAATAAGCAAGTATCAGCAATTTAGAACAATCACTAAGTTTCTATGGAAATCTCAAAAGTTATTTCACTTTGTATACAAAATAGCGCAAAAAAGTTGAGATGGTGAATCAACAGTAATTAAGAAGTCCAAGATAATGGAAAATGAGAATTCATTGTTGTTTTAAATTATGGATTTATGTTTGCTGATTACTTTGCATTAATTTATAATTAAAATTTTTTCATACAATTTAACTCATTTGTTGTATAAACTTAAGCTCATAATGTACTGCATAAAACTGAGCGCTTTTTTATAGGATGCGCAACGTTCGAAGCAATTTTTGCCTTATTTGCAAAGATCTGGTCGATCAGAGGGTATTGTAGAATTTATTGCATCCGGTAGTCGGGTACGCCTATATGTGCCTAAAGAAACGTGCCTTATAACCTTTTTATTTTCTGGTATTGATTGTCCCCGTGGTGCTCGTATTGGTCCAGGTGGTAAATTGATCGGTGAAAATGAACCGTATGCCGAGGAAGCTGCTAAATTTACGCGTTCGAAAATTATGCAGCGTGAGGTTGGTTCGTAATTTTCAAAAAATATGGAATTTTACGGAATTTTTCTTGTATTATTGATTTTTCAACAATAGGATAAAGTCCTTTTTTTACTTTTGTAATTCTTGTTACGGAAGAAATTTCCTTCAGGTAGAAATAGAAGTAGAAGGTATGGATAAATCAGGAAGTTTCGTTGGCTATATGTTTGTACAAACTGAACAGGGTCTTTGTAACATGAGTACAGCATTGGTAGAAAATGGTCTAGCAAGTGTACATTTCACAGCTGAAAAAGGTGCATATTACTCTCAGCTTTGTGTTGCGGAAGAAAAAGCTAAGAAGGTTTCAATTTTTCGTTGTATTTTTTGATCTCTCTTTTCTCTATATTTTTGTAATTCATATTTTTTTCCTGCCGAACACGAAATATCTAGATGTAAGCTTTTAGAATCATATAATCCGAGTCAATTTATCTACTAATTTTTTGTGCTACATTTAATATTTTGACATTTGTAACGCTATAACGCTGATCTTTTTCTTTTGTTGATTTTTTTAAGCTGTTTAGCAACGTTACCATCAATATGCAATCAACAGTTGACATTATAAATCTTTTTTAGATGCAAGGTGGAGTGACCTATACAGAAACTAAGAAGGAGTAGTGGCAATTTTATGCTACCAAGTCATTTGAACTTAGAACCTGCCAGATGCTAATGATTAGACAACTGTTTTGGAAAAAATTTCTTAAGGGGAGGTAGAAAACTTTTTTTTTGTAATTTTAGGCAAAATTAGGAATATGGGCGAAATGGATTGATGAAGAAGCCATTGTGCAAGCTGAACTTGCTTCAACAGCTGAAAAGACGGAGCGTACGATAAATTATCGAAAGGTGGTTGTTACCGATGTGCAGAAAGGAAATTTCAAATTTGCTGCTCAGTCGGTGGATGATGGTAGGTCGATTAAAGTTTGTAACGAGCAAAATTAAAAGCTAGCTTTTGGGGATCGCATAAAGTAGGGTTTGAAAGAATAAATAGTGAACACCTATTCATTTTAAATTCTCTTAGTTTCCAATTTTTGATTGTAACTTTGAGGAAAAAAGTCTTTATTACATCGCTTCTTGGATAGGATGTTTTATGATCTTCAGGCACGATTTAGGATAGGTTGCTATATTGTTAAGGATTTTACAGGTCCAAAACTTGAAACACTAATGAAAGAATTACGCGAAGAGTTGAGGGAAAAGCCACCAGTAGTTGGTGCATATGTACCACGACGTGGAGATTTGTGCGTTGCACGGTTTTCAGCTGATAAATTGTGGTATCGAGCGCGTGTTGAAGGAATAAAAGGAAAAAATATCGATGTTTTATATATCGACTTCGGAAATGTTATTTCTTCTCAACTTAATTATAAAGATTGTTGAAAAGAACTGAGATTGGTTTACTGCTTCCAGCCTTACATTTACATAAATTTGTTTTACTTGCGATAGAATTTTGCAATGTCATCCAACATTTTTTATGTTCAAGGTGAAGCGATTTTGTCTTCATAGTTGAACGCTATGAAGAATTTTAAAATTTTCTGAAAAAATCAGGTTAAGTATATATCTCATGCGTTTTGCCATATAATAGGAATCAGTAATTATAGAGAGAAGTGGTTGATGTGACATCGATGGCTACTTTGCCGGCTGATTATGCAGCACAGCCAGCAGGTGCACGCGAATATCAAATGGCTTTTTTGCAAGTACCAAACGACCCTGATCATGCAAATAATTCGGACATAGCATTTGAGCAAATTCTATTCTCAGTACCGTTCATGTTTATAAACACAGAGTATAGATATGCAGGAATGGAGTACGTCACAGCAATCATTGAGACATCTAATGGTACTCGTACTGATGTTGCGAAAACGCTTATTGCTGAGGGACATGCTCTGGTAGAACAAAAACGAGAAAAGAGATTCGCTTCATTGGTAGCTTATTATTTTTACTCTTCTGCTTTATTCAAGTTTATTAGTATGGAACTAATAAGGTGAATAGGGTATTGCGTGATGGATTTGAATTGTACAGCGGGTTGATTAGATAAAGTTTAGACGAAACAGTTGTTTCTAATCATTGACAAAAATTATCATGGAATTGTATTTAATGAAAATGGATGAGTAAAAAGGAAACCAATTCTGGGAAGAAGAGAAGAAGGATATATGATTTTGCGACTCAGTGGTGAATTTGTCGATCCCTTATTAGATTTGATTTTTAGTGCGCGGTCGATCGTTGCTAATGCATTACTCTTTTCTATGTGCTTAAATATTTTCATTGATATTAAAGGATGGTTTGATGAGGCGAATTTATCATTGATGGAAAAAGCTTTGATGGATGGGGCATTTTTTTTGTAAATAGCTACGAAAATAGATATCACTTGCAAAACATGTATGAATAAGTAGCTTTTACAGATTGCGGAATATCACGAAACTGAGAAGATTGCTCGTCGTGAACATCGTAACATTTGGGAATATGGTGATTTTACCGGTAATGAATTGTAGAAATTCCGAAGAATGTTAACAATCAGAAAGAAGAAAAAAAAATATTGTTGCATTTTTGTTTAACTTTGTTGTTATCGAAGTTATCGATAGAATTATTAGATACAATTTTAATTGTTTTGTTGTTATCATTTCCGGCTTTCCTTGTGTCATTCAATTTGCCTTCTAATCATTTTCTTTTTACATATCTTTCTGTTGAAAAGAATTAACCTGAATGTTTCCACCGCTTTTGTTATTGTTCAATGTTTACAATGATGGTGATAAAGTGTAATTTTTGTTTCATTCCGGTTAGGTCACGTGGAGGGATGATTAAATTCCTTCTGCACATAACTTTTTTATCAAAATTGAGTCCTCAAAGGATTTGGATGAGATTTTATGCCTTATTAGGAAGTTAAATCCTATTATAACCGTTAAATGCAATAATCAAGTTCTCTCCTTTTTGTCGTATTACCCTCCATTCAAGATAAAATTTTTTTTATCAAACGGTTATAATAAGATGTGATAGTCATTTGAACAAATAAATCTGTTTTGTTAGTATTATTTCATCAATTGCTTATTATCACTTCGTGAGTTCCAATGCTGTTTTTAAAAAAAGAAAGAAATCGTTTTTTTTTTTTTTGCAATTCATTGCTCGAATAGAATGATCGTGATATACTTTTTTTGCGTTGTTTTTTTGTTTCGTGTCTGTAAAATTCCTGAAATCTTTTTCTAAATGTATCTTTAATATTCCTGTGAATGTGTTGGTAATTGCCGATACAACAATTTGTTTTCTTTTCTTCTCATTAATCTGGCTCTTCTTGCTTACTTTTTTTTCAATTTCTGCGCAGGTATTTTTTTCTTAACAGTGTTCCAGTTTGAAATTTTCCTGTGATCGTCTTCCTTATTAAAATGTTTTATGGTTATTTATTGTAGTAATCGTTGTGAATAATTGTTTTCAAAAACAATAAATATATTTTTTTTTTCGGAGATTTATTATATGGAATTTTTATAGTGATAGAAGATTGATGCTCACATTCGACATGTATTCTATATTATGCAGTGATTATTGCATGAGATGTTGTTGCGTTTGTGGATAAATCTGAACTGGGGCTGATTTGCTTTGTAAATTTTTTGGGATCGCCAGATGCATGTGAATTGATTCTTGGTCATATATTTTAATTCAATGCCATCATGAGATCATGCAAAGTACATATTGGTGAGAGAGGAGGTTAATTGTCATTAGAATTACTCTCTTTAAGTTTGAGAGAATGAATACAACCGTTCAACATTCAAGAGATCTCTTTTTTTCAAGAGAACATTTTTTGCTGCAGAGAATTTTGGAGTACATGCTTGTTCGGCAGTGATTTGGTAGGACTAAAATTGTTGAAAGGAGAATTTTGTTAATAGCTATGTTAATAGGCTTGTGTAAGTGATGTAGGGAAAGCTAGTATTCTTGATATTAATCTGTGCGAAGAAGCTCTTAGTGTATTGATTATTTCTGTTTATCAATTACATTCCACTTCAGTTCTTTCTATATCTCACAGGTATTTTGGAAATATGAGTGCTGGACATCGTGCTGGACCATTGAAACAATCAAATAAGAAGCATAAAAGTGGTCGGCACCGTACCAAAGGTGCAATAAATGCGCTTATTGGAGGTTTCTTTTTTTTTAACTCATTGGTAGATGAAATCATTGTTGATATTTTCATCTGATAAATTCATCATTGCACAATTGATGGTGGTTTGAGTTGAAATTCAATTCATGCTAAGGAATTGAGGAAATTAGATCGATTAATTGTTAATTATAAGACTTGATAAGGAGATAGAGTCTACTTGCTATAATATTTTTTAAGGTAAAGTAGGTTGCAAAGCAGTAACAGGAAAACAACGCTTTTTGGTTGGCAAAAAAGCTCGACGTCTTCAAGCTCAACAGATACGTGAAAATAAACGTGCTGCTTTATTATCTGACAATTACGCTGTTTCTAACAGTTACCTACAACAACCTCCAATATTCGTTGTTTGTTTTCTTTCTTACATTGATCGATTCCGTATTCCATAACTTCTTTGTATACTTGTCATGTTGGGATTAAAACATTTTTTTATTTTATTGGCGCAAAAAGTTTTAATACATTTTCCTATATTGTTTCTGCCTGTATGAAGAGATTTTAAAACTGCAAGAGAAAGATGATTGAGAGTAATTCCTCTTTCAACATAAGATTTCTGAATACTGCTAGTAACAGAATTGAATTTTCATGATATCGCAATACTCAGTTTCAAGTCATTTTCGCTTATTTCATTTTCTTGTTTTGTCGAATTTTTTTTCCAATTTATGTTTCAGACAGTTTTATCATTTGATCGGAATTATTTGGCCGATGAACTTATAGCGTTGTTATGTTCGTGTGACGAAACTTCTTACCGAAATACGAGTTATAATGGTTGTTTAAATCATCTCTGGTAAATTTTTAACATTTTTGTTGATGAGTAAGTTTCAAGTGATTTCAAATATTTTTGAAAAAAATAGTGAAAAAGTTGACGGTCACGATGTATTTAGATGTTACATAATTTTATGCTTTATGCAATTCTTTTAATTCATTCATTGCCTATATCGCTACTATTTTTTACAGCTTTATTTAGGTTTTTTTTAGGAAATTCTAGTCAGCTTAATTTAAAAAATATGGAATCCTATAATCAGATTTTCTTTTTTTAGCATTAAGCGGCTCAAAAGTCGTTATGTGTTTACCGCACCGGGTTGTTCAAATACTGATGTTGCACTTGATTATGTGAAAGTATCCGATATTATTGCCTTCATTTGGCCAGCTAACGGCGAAATTACGGCGGAAGATGATATTTTAATGAGTACCCTATTGGCACATGGCTTGCCGGTTACAGTACACTTTGTACCGGGGCTCGGTATAGCTGAAACTACGAAACAAAAAGAAATTATACGTAAAAATGTTGCAAAACTGATTACAAATTGGTAATTCTTCGTCGATAGTTTGGAACTGTTGATTGCATAATCAAAATTAGGAGCTGGAAGGATTTTTTGCCTCCTAATTTTAATTTGCTCATTTTTCTTCTTATTGCTAATACTCTTCAGTCGAACCGTCTATGGAAGCATATTATTTACGATCATTTATAAAGTCTAACATATTCCCATAATTTTTATAATTCCATAATATTAGGAGTTTTGGAGATGAGAAGCTGATGCACTGTGATAGGGAAAGTGATGCTTTACTTGCCTTACGCTTGATCAGTACAATGAAGAAGAAACCATCACATATGCAAAGGATGCGACCACATTTAATTGCTGAAATTTTTGAAAAAACTGAAGCTGAGGTATAATTTATTAAAAATCAATTCCAAAATGAAAAATGAAATCGATGGACGATTATTAACAGTACAATAAGTGGATGGCAAATCAATTAGTATGCTCGGTATGTAGTAGTGCCGTCGTTAACATATCTGCATTAGCGAAATGCCTGGATAATCTTGGTGATCTGAGGTTGTGACTAAAACAATATATATAATTGAAATTCATATAATGGAATTAATAGTTGTGTTGTCAGGGAGATTTATGCACGCTGAAAGTTTCCGGATATTTAAAGGGGCCGTCACTGAATGTTAACAGTCTTGTTCATGTTTCATGGTTGGGTGATTTCCAAATGAAGCAAATTATCGTGGAAGATGATCCGTTTGCGCCAGATAAGAAGGTCTTTGGAAGTTTAATTTTCATAAATTTTCGAGAAAATCTATAAATCAAGTGTTTTGATAATGCAGAAAGCTTTAGGAAATGGATTTTTGATTGGAATAAAATATGGAAATTATAATTTCTAAATAAAGGAATAAAGTATTTTTGTTATTAAACTGAATTACCTACGAAACTTCCTTGACTGTAGTATATTTCTAATGGAATTGTGATATTATAGGGACGAAAATTAGATGAAAATAACGTCTTTGATGTGTTAATTATTGCAGGTTCGGATTGGCATCAAAGCTTCAGGAACTACATTCAAGCCTGATTTGAATCTGCAAACGTCATTGCAGTCCGAAATGGTTGCAGATCCTATGGATGCAGAACAGACATGGCCAACCGAGCAAGAAATTATGAAGGATGCATGTAAGATCACTGTTGCTTTCACCAATGAAGTTTTAAATCGCTAAATTTTTACGATATGCTTAAATTTTTGACAGGAATTTTTGAAAAACCTAAAATTCTTAGCAATTGCATGGTATTATTTTATTTATTTCCCTATGGCTTATGGTTCTAAAAGTTGAAGGAATGGATATGATTCTATGACATCATTTGTAAATATGAAAGTTTCAGTTAAAACAAAGAAAATAGTGAGAAATGTACCTGTTGGCACGTCGGCATATCAAGCTGAGTGGATTATTAATGATGAAGATTCGATATCTGATGAAGAGATTGAGGTTTTTTATCAATTTTTGAAATATAGTGATAACATTTAATTATAAAAATACTTTCAAGATGAAAAATGGGATGATTTTTTCCAATCACTAACTTCTCGGATCTTCGAAACCGGTTATAAATTTTGAGTATTAGGTGTAGCAATTTGATCCGATTAAAATGAAAATAAATGCGAAATCGGAAAATAAATCAGTGAAATTCATGCAATGACAAAAATAGCATTTCGATTTCCAATATACAATTTTTTTTCGTAAAATATTACGTACACTGGAGAAAACAAGTAACATTATTTTTTCTAGGAAGAACTGGAAAATAGTAGTGTGTTGAAAGAAGCAGTAAACAAAGAGGAATCGGATGTCGAAAATGAAATGGAAATAGAAAAGGTTTGTTTCCGCAGTCTGTATCAAGATTCCTTTACTATTTCAAATTAACTTTAGATTTTAAAAACAGGGAGGTCAGCTATGTTTTAATAAATTTTCAATATTTAGATGAGCGTCATAAGTGATACTGAAAGTTCCATGGATATTAAAGACGAAGAAATCAACATGGCAGAAGTGGAGAAATATCGGAAAGCCCGTGAAAATGAGCAATTTCCGGACGAAATTGACACACCGATGGATGTAGCAGCTAGAATTCGTTTCCAGAGATACCGTGCTTTGAAAAGTTTTAGGTTTTATTATTTTAATGTGCTTCATCAAATAAGCTGAATTAGGTCTTTTAAAGAAAAATTAGATCAGTAAATTAAAAAAAATTTTGCTACATGAAATACCGGATATAATTTCAGAACATCGCCTTGGGATCCACTTGAAAATCTTCCAAAAACATATTCTCGTATTTTCAAATTTTCGGATTATCGGCACTCCAGAAAAGTCGCGTTGTCGAATACTGCATTTGAAACTGAATATAATCCACCACGAGGCGCATTCATATCTGTTTATATTTCCAAAGTACCCACCAATTTAATAGGTGTTTTATTTCTCATCTTTTAAACTAATATCTCGCTAGTATTGTTCAGGTCTTATTTGTCTTTTGGGCTCGTTGTTGATGCATTCTGCAAAACAATATAATCTTTTTTGTCTATAGAAAGGAGTAAGAAAGTTAGTAGAAGGATCACTGCTAAAAATTAAATCCTGCAATATTCCGAAAGCTGAGACGATAAATTGAAAAACAAAATTAATCCAGTTTAATGAAACTCTCAATTCTTTGTGCTGAAATTTTATTCCTATTTGCCTCATAAGACAAATTGGATTTCGTAGTATTTGTTTTTGTAAGGCATGTGACTATGTGGTCGTAAATGAGGTTTTAATATCCGTTGTTTTTTTTTTTCAGATATTTGGCCGCATAGTAAGCCATTAATAATTTATGGATTACTAGCACATGAACAGAGGATGTCACTTCTTAATATGGTGCTTAAAAGGCACCCATCTTGTACTGTGCCGATACCGAATAAGCAAAGATTAATATTTCATGTAGGTTATCGGCATTTTGAAGCGGAGCCAATCTTTTCACAACATTCAAATGATGACAAGTTCAAGGTGATTTTTTGAATTCCACTGAATTTTATTCCGTTTCCTCTTGACCCGTTGATAGCCATTAACTTTAATTTTTTTTCTAGTAAGAAGGGAGAAATAAATTAACAAAAGAAATTAGATTTTCATATAAACTAAGTTTTGGCGCATTGCTGTCAGCTTAATTTGAATTCGACCATCCAGAAATTATTCATATACTTCCTCCAAATTTCAGATTTGTTTGAAAATATTTTAAATGTAAATTGTTTCTCATGTTCACAGATGGAGCGGTTCATGCCGAACGATGGCGGATTTGTTGCATCAGTATTTGCACCAATAATGTTTCCGCCTACTTCTGTATTAGTCTATCGATTAGATAATCGAGGAAATGAACAACTTGTTGCAACAGGTGGTGTGCTAAATATCAGTCCAGATCGAATCGTTCTCAAACGTGTCGTTCTTTCGGGACATCCATTTAAAATCAATCGAAGGAGTGTCGTCGTACGCTATATGTTTTTCAACCGTGGTAAGTTTTCTTCGTTAAATTTAGAAGAATTCATCTGAAATGCAAGAATATTAGACAAAGGACTATTCAGCATTTTCTCGTAGATGTTAGTCAGTACTGACATTTACTTAATTGCAACCTTCATCTTCATAGAGTGAAATGACTATTCCTTTTTTGTATATGCTATGGACGAAACATACAGAATTGTAATGGTGTCAAAAAATGACAAACCATTTTTTAGTTTTTTATGTGAAAGTTTTCTTTGTTTAGTTAACTATAGCAAATTTAGTTATTTATTTTCAGAAGATATTGAATGGTTTAAACCTGTGGAATTGCGCACTCCACGTGGTCGAAGAGGACACATTAAGGAAGCGTTGGGTAATTTCTTTTTTTAAGGATTTTAATGCATTAAATCTTTTGGAAATCTGAGAAAACGGAGAAAAACCAGTAGATCAGAGATAACAAATTTAATAATTTTTAGAAAAGCAGAACAACTGCAATCTACCTGACAGTTTTCTGTTGACTTCGTTGATCTTAAAACGATTGCTAGGATTTAGGTGGAGTGCTTAACATTTTGTTAAATTATTAATTTATTTCCACTTCAGGAACACATGGACATATGAAATGTGTATTCGATCAACAGCTCAATTCGATGGATACAGTGATGATGAACCTTTATAAACGAGTTTTTCCAAAATGGACATATAGTCCCATCACATTGCATCCTTTATCTGAGCCACGTAATGAATCTGAATTGATGGAAATGTAATTTTTAACGGTTGTACTTCTCAATTCATGTTATATCAATGTTGAACTTTGGATGAATAATCAAAATCTGTTCGGAATTGTTTGACTTTGAATTGAATTATGATTATGTTAGACTTCAATGAATACATTATCACAAATTCGATTTCCGGCTTTTTTCGTCAAATTTTGTGGAAAATCACAAATGTTTAGATTTCCAATTTCTGTTGAACTTGAAATTTTCATTTTATTTGTTCTTTTGTTATCTATCGAAATTACTGTTAGTTCTAATGCTTTATGTTAACAATAAAAAAAATCATGTTGTTCAATGGTTCTTTTTTTCAAAAAGATTGCTGTAAGATTAAAATGAATCTCAGACATTTGAATACATTTCTGATGACCATCGCCGAATTCACCGTTTTTTGAGTTCTGGTCTTCTATCTCATGTATGGTATCTCAAGTTCTTGTTCCCATATTCTCTTTTCTTGAATAACATAGAGCAGAATTTGTCACTCAATTTAGCAGCAGAGGTCAAGCTCCAGCTACTGTTATGAATAAATTACGAACAAAATATGCCTTTAGATCATTCAGAGCTATGTCTTAAAGAATTAGTGATTAGTATGCTGAATAGTTTTGCCTTAATTCGTAGAAGTTTTAGAAGAGCTTCCTTGCAAATGAGGAATAATGCCAGAAATAATAAAATAATAAATGTTGAGCACTTATGTCCGGAAAGAATTGTGTGCATAATAAAGCTGAGAATTGAATTAGTTAAACTATCAACTGTTCAGGACCTAATTCTAGTTTTGATTTTTGGTATTTTTTCGACATGGAATTGGATTTTCTACCATATAGGGCAGTGAAGGAATTTGACAAGCTTAAGATCCAGCAATTCGCTGTATGTTTTGAAGTTTAGTTGGCTTTATATATGCTTGCAGTTTCTAGACGATGCTATCGGAATAATTCCGCTGCTGATTCAACGTCACTGATTTCACGACAATGAATCAGTCGAATGAAGGTAAGTTTTATACTTCATTGATACTCTCTCAGCAATGATAGCTACAAAAATCCCTTGTTAATTTTTGTTTTTTTTAATTTTTGTATTTCAAAAATCCCTTGTTAATTTTTGTTTTTTACGTAGTTTTAGTGTTATCGATTGACGAGTTGTTAATTTTTATATTCTATATACATTATAGTTTAGTTCTTGTATTTTGCATGCGCTTCCTTTTATCTTTTCGGATATTTCAGTTGTAAATCAAATGATTCATACAAAATAACAGTCGCTGATTATAGTAGCAAATTAATTGGGAATGATATTAATGCCTAACGACCTTTTTGAAAATCCATTACTTATGATTTTTCACACTGTTATTGATGGATAGATGGCAATCTTAAAATTCTTTGAAAACTTTCTATTATAGAATGTACTACAGTGGAGTTACGTCGTTTTGCGTCGTTATTGCGTGAACTTAATGTCATTGATGATTTACATACGAACACAAGACGAAAATTTATGCAGATTAAGGTTTGTAAATATTTGAAATTTCGCAATGTTTAACAACATATTTATCCATATATCTGTGTGACTCAAACCTATAATTCGTTACGCTATCAGAAAGCATTTAGGGAATGAAGAAAGATGTAGAAGGAGAATATTTAGGAAAAGTGAATAATGGGTAAAAAGCAGGTATGTGTAATGTGATTCTGAATGAAAGGGACAGGAAACAGGAAAAGAATGGTAAAAGTAGTAAAAAAAACCTCATCCTGTTAGCTGTTGCTTGAAACGGAAAAGTTAGATAATATTAGAGAGTTGTACAACTGAATTCACTTTCCTTGCGCCGCGGTGGTATTATTGGTAGGCGAAACCAGGGCAAGTTCATCACCTGTAATCGTCAGATTATTAGTGTTTATTTACCATGCCATTGATGCGGTTAATTGTGTAGATAAAATGCACTAATCAAATTATAGATCCATTTTAAATAGACAATGTAGTGAATTCTTTGATATGAGCTTAAAAAAAATTACCACAAAATTACTGAATCGAAATTAATTTACTCCTGGTAATTATGGATTACCATAATGCTATTGGATGAATTGAATTATTATGAAGAAAAATGATTCATGAAGTAGAGTAGAGTAAATTACAATGAAGAAATTAAATAAATTATGTCTTGCAAATCGACTTTTGATTACCCTCTACATAATATACGAAAATGATATAGAGAAATAGCGTTGTAGTTCGTTATCATCTTTCGAAGTTAATGAAGTTTATGGCTATAAAAATATTTGGAATCTAAAAACTACAGATATTTGATGTCGTAGGTGCTTTTTTTAGAATTAATATTTCAAGCTTGAGGTCAGGATGATGCTTCTTTCTTTCCTCGAAGCATTTTATCTAACTTGTTGAATATCAGGCCGTGTACGGTAATCAAATGTCATCATGGTGTCGATGGTACTTTGGCATATTTGACTAAGCTGTAGTTTTCTCGAATAACAATAAGTTCTCTTTCGTTGTGCCTCCACAATAACAGTATTACTAACAACACATTCATCATATGGCATCCGATTAGTAACCAATACGAATGCTACAACACCTAATGACCTAAAATAAGACAGTGAAGTGATAAATTGATCCCTTCAACATTCCAATAAATTTTAAAAATCAATATGAAATCAGAACAATCTGTGTCACAATCCTATGTGATCTACATTTTTTTGTGGCTTACAATTAAATTATTTTTTTGTATTTGATTAATAATAATAAATTAAACCTTTCCTCTGGTTTTAGCTATCAGTTGACAGCTTGACATGCAAACTGTTAAAATTTATAAAATGAATGTTTTATTTCATGATGGTTTAACTGTGACTATTCATCCAGAGGAAACAATAAGTTTAACCTTACCAGATATCTGCCTTGAATGGTATATATTCTTGACCAAGAAGAATTTCTGGAGCTGAGTAAGATTTCGATCCGCAAAATGTCCTCGATAAATCACCATTTTGTATCTTAACTATTTCTGTTATGTTTTATTAAACTTTCGGATCTCTTCCGTTCCGTTTATTGTGCATCATCAGCTTTATTAGGACCGCTTTATTATGAGTATATTTGCTGTAGGTGGCATAACAGTGTTGATGGTTACCAATATTTAATTCATTTATCTGTAGCTATTATAATTTCAGTTCGAAATAAAAAAAACGTCATTATTTTATAAAGTTATCAGAGTAGAAGATAAAAAATGTTCTGTTCAGAATTATATAGAGGTTCATGATTGTCTCCTTTTTAAAGAATCTTTTCAGTACTCTATACATAAGAATTTAACAAATGTACTTCATTTAAAAAATGATTTGTTAATTTAAGTAAAACATAACATGATTATTTGCTTGGTCACTTAATCTAAGCTATTTATTGATCTTTATAGTTACTTCGGTAATTGTTTTCAATTATTCTTTACTTATTTTAATTATTTTAATTTCTTTCTCGGTTATTTTAGTTGACTTAAATTTCTCATTAACTTTTTATCTCCATCGTTTGTATGCAATTCATTACAGAAGTCAGCCTACTAAAATATATTTTAGTTTGAAATTTTATAAATTTGGAAATATCTTATTACATTTTCTGACATACCTCTCGACAGAATCCGAAATCAGCAATTTTGATGAAGTTATCAGCAAATAGAAGGATATTTTCTAATTTCAAATCACGATGCGCTATTGAACGCATATGCAAGTAATAAACTGCCGAGAGGAGTTGTTTCATCCAACTTTGAGCTCTCGATTCCGACTGTGCACCGTTTTGTTGTACAAATGTTAACTGAAAAAAAAGAGGAAAAATGAGTATATTATGTCATGGAAGTTCATCTTTTCTCGAGTAATCTACTTTAATGTCATCTATAACTTCATTTATGCAAGTCATCCTTTTTAATGTAAGATATGGCAGGTGGAACTTATTGAAATTTGTAAATAGATAAATTAATCTTATATCTCAGAAGCTCAGAAGTAATGTAATTAGTCGCTGAACATAATAAATGATCACTTGATAATACTCTAGTCTGAACTCTCTGTCATGACATTCACATAATTTTCAGGATTCATTCTCTATTCAAAGTTAACAAATTATACCGTTCATGATTTTATAATTGTTTATGAATAAGATAAAATTCGATATTTCCATTTATAGCACTATCAGTGTTTTTTTTCTGATGAAGATTTTACTACTATTTTTTTTAAATTATTATTGTCTAGAATTTCAATATTCTAGACATTAACATTGTCTAGAACTTTAGTGTTATGATAGAATGATAACTTAAACTTACAAGATCGCCTTTTTCGGCAAGTTCCATCGGCAAATACACTTTGCCAGCCTCTTCGAAGACACCGAGAAGAGCTACCAAATTTGAATGGCTCAAACGTTTCCATACATGAATTTCACGTGGCAAAAATTTGCACTTATATTCTTGAGTAACTTTTCGTGTATCAATTATTTTTATTGCAATCTTGAAAATTTTGAAAGTTACTTTATTGACAGTAAATGTAACTTTCAATTTCTAATTAATCTATTATTTGATGCATTAAGACGGGTAATTACAGGTAGGATTAATAGTGAAAAAAGTGAAATGGTGGTAAAATTTTGATAATAATATATGCAACGTACGATTCTTTGTGCGATGTCGGAATAGACTATGCTTAAATTAACAGAGAAAAACCAATTAAGCATTTAGAATTGCAGATTAAATTATTTTTAAAGTGAACTTTTAAGATTGAGCTGTTCATATTTTAGGCCTTATTCTAAGACTTATTAATCAGAGTGGTGTCTCCCATCTATTTTTATCTATTAATTATTATTAGTTGTGTCACATCGAATAGTTTTTAAGTTTTAGATTTCATCCTTTCTGAAATAATTCTCAATTCATCTCTATTGATGAAGCTATTTTGATATCAATCCAAGTTTAGTAAGAGTTGTATTGAATGTCTAAACAGTTTACATATCATCCAGAGAAATCATGTTTGACATGAAATTCTATTAAGAAATAAAGTAAATTATATTACCAGAAAATAAGTAATTTTGATTTTCCAATATCGTTCCCTGCATGTGTTTTCCGTAAATTTAATTATTAATTATTCAAAGAGTTTGTTTAGAAGAAACATATGAGGATTTTTCGGATTTTTTTCTTTTTTGATCAATTCAAAAAAATTAGCATAATTATTCTTGTGATAATGTAGTACCTTTCTATTAGTTCTAATATGTATACCCTCGCATACTTTGCTGTAACGTCCATAACCAAGTTTTGCACAATTTGTTAAGATATATCCATGATTTGCCAACACCTGTCGAGTATTTGGTGGATAATAATGATAGTTGCTTGTCGTTTGAAATGGCTGCTAAAATTTCATTTTAAATATTGATAACTGAAAGCAGAAAAATCACACATTTACAGAAAAATCATTCATTATCATTTTCAAGCTTTTATAGAAATTGCAAATGGTATTTTATATTTATATGCATTTTGAATTTATTTCATTCATTTGAAATATATTAAAATCTATTATTTCGAATTAATTTTCTATAAAATCAAAAGAAAGAGGAATCAGTATCTTTGTTGCTCAATATTATATGCTTTCGAACTTATTAATTTACATGTATTCGCTTTTCCTAAATTTGAAAAAAAAAATTAAGCTTACACGATATGTGTAACGATGATTGTATAAACGTTGGCACTGATTTTGATTAGGTGATAATTTAATTGAATCATATTGTCGTTTATGTGTCGAAATTTGATCTTGGAATGATGATTGTTGCTCTTCCTCACATCTAGAACTAATCATTGCTAACTTATGCTTCAACTGAAAACATTGTACATATTGGAATTACTCATTGCTTATAAATGTCGAATTTTTCCATTTCTTAGATATCATAAATTCTCTCTCACAATATTTGTAATCTTAATAATAGTGCAAGAAAAAATTTCATATAGTTCAATTTGTAGTTGTTTTTAAACAGAAAATTAATTTCAAGCAAATTTATGAAATTACCTCTTTGTCCTTATAGACATTTTCTCCTAACTTTTAAAAATAGTTATATTTAGATATATTGACGATTTCTGTGAATTAAATGAATAAACCAGTGAAAATTTTTCCTGAAAATAGTTTTTTGAAAGTCATTATTTTACAAGTAATTAGGTTGCATTAAAAGTTGCTAGATGAATTGAGATGAGATGAAGAGGAAAAGTTATTATTGTTACACAATCTTTGGAAAATATTATTGCTATACTTTAACCTCATGAAGTATTTTTTTAAAAGATAACTGAGTAGTTTTCCACTTTAATTATTAACTTATCAGTTGCTAACTCATCTCGACTTCACTGTACGAAGAAAGATTCTGAATGCATCATTATTAGCAAGCGTGATAGTTGCTTAAAAGCGATTTCTCAATTGATTTATTCGTTGATTTGAGTCATTTATTTTAAAGTAATATTAGGAATTATATTTTCAAGATTTTCAGACTATCCTTTTTATCTTTTGGCTATAGCCATGTATGTAACAAATAAGATAATGAACAAAGAGAATTAAAATATCGTTGTTCTTACGTACGTATTTTCAAATTATTTTGCATGGAAAAATTAATTTTTACAAGTTCACTGCAATTATCAGTTGGATTCAGAAGTTCGGTATGGAAATAACCATTTGATAAGGAAGGAGGATGTTCGAAATTATCCCCACCACCTCGGCTATAAAAACGAGCCCTTTGGTGTGTTAGCTCGTATCAAACCGTCTGTTTGATCCTAGGAACACGATAATAACATTACTTTTTCATTTTGATTCATTTAAATTATTTTTTGATTTATTGAAAAAATTAGTGAAATGTAGATATGCAAATTTAATTGAAAATCCTCATTTATATGCGTCCGTGGAGAGTACGGTATCCTCGGGATAACGTTTCTTTTGTTCTAATATCTAATTATCGTTATACATTGAAACTATTTGCATAAGATCAATTCATTTATTTATCTAATCGAATATTTTATTCAATTAGAAAAGTACAGTAAAATAAAAATTTAGTTAGATTTGGAAATGAAAATCATATTTTTGTTCATAAAATATAACTTCACTATCATTCTTTTCTATGATAGGTAAAATGTTGATTGAAATAATGAAAAATTGATGACATCGATGATAGTTCATGCATTCCGTTTATCACGATTTTCTTTTGATTCGTAGAATATTTTTTTTTTGTAATGAAATAAGCTGAATAAAAGAGGGAGTCCAAAGGGCAAGGAATATTTTTCCCTTTTTTTTGTTCTTTATCAGCTAATATTCTTTCCATTTGCAAATATACTCCTTCCTAATTTAATCCTTTATTAATTTTCTATAATATTAATTTTCCTGGAGAAAAGGCAAACAGTATATTTTATCAAAAATACAAGAGGATTTAACTAATATCTTTAATTTAAATTGAAAATTTCAATTTATAATTGCAGAATGATTGTTTTTATGATTTTGGACCGAAAGTGATAGAGTTGACACACAGTGGAAATGATGTTGTCGATAAATGTATCATTACATTTTCTACTCTTATCATGGAAGTGAATATTCTGGTGGAAAAAGCACGAAGTACATTCTATAGTTCATTGATCGTTTACGGAGAAGATGGTAATTTTTAAAATATA